TTATAATAATAGTTATTCGATAAAAATCAAGAATAACAATTATAATAACAATTATTCAATAAAAATCAAGAATAACAATTATAATAATAGTTATTCTATAAAAATCAAGAAAAAAATTATAATAACAATTATTCAATAAAAATCAAGAATAACAATTACAATAATAGTTATTCAATAAAAATCAAGAATAACAATTATAATAATAGTTATTCTATAAAAATCAAGAATAACAATTATAATAATAGTTATTCGATAAAAATCAAGAATAACAATTATAATAATAGTTATTCAATAAAAATCAAGAATAACAATTATAATAACAATTATTCAATAAAAATCAAGAATAACAATTATAATAATAGTTATTCTATAAAAATCAAGAATAACAATTATAATAACAATTATTCAATAAAAATCAAGAATAACAATTATAATAACAATTATTCAATAAAAATCAATAATAACAATTATAATAATAGTTATTCTATAAAAATCAAGAATAACAATTATAATAACAATTATTCAATAAAAATCAAGAATAACAATTATAATAACAATTATTCAATAAAAATCAAGAATAACAAATATAATAATAGTTATTCAATAAAAATCAAGAATAACAATTACAATAATAGTTATTCAATAAAAATCAAGAATAACAAATGTAATAATAGTTATTCTATAAAAATCAAGAATAACAATTATAATAATAGTTATTCGATAAAAATCAAGAATAACAATTATAATAATAGTTATTCTATAAAAATCAAGAATAACAATTATTCAATAAAAATCAAGAATAACAATTATAATAACAATTATTCAATAAAAATCAAGAATAACAATTATAATAACAATTATTCAATAAAAATCAAGAATAACAATTATAATAATAGTTATTCGATAAAAATCAAGAATAACAATTATAATAATAGTTATTCAATAAAAATCAATAATAACAATTATAATAATAGTTATTCTATAAAAATCAAGAATAACAATTATAATAACAATTATTCAATAAAAATCAAGAATAACAATTATAATTACAATTATTCAATAAAAATCAAGAATAACAATTATAATAATAGTTATTCAATAAAAATCAAGAATAACAATTATAATAATAGTTATTCAATAAAAATCAAGAATAACAATTATAATAATAGTTATTCTATAAAAATCAAGAATAACAATTATAATAACAATTATTCAATAAAAATCAAGAATAACAATTATAATAATAGTTATTCTATAAAAATCAAGAATAACAATTATAATAATAGTTATTCAATAAAAATCAAGAATAACAATTATAATAATAGTTATTCGATAAAAATCAAGAATAACAATTATAATAATAGTTATTCTATAAAAATCAAGAATAACAATTATAATAATAGTTATTCTATAAAAATCAAGAATAACAATTATAATAACAATTATTCAATAAAAATCAAGAATAACAATTATAATAATAGTTATTCGATAAAAATCAAGAATAACAATTATAATAATAGTTATTCGATAAAAATCAAGAATAACAATTATAATAACAATTATTCAATAAAAATCAAGAATAACAATTATAATAATAGTTATTCTATAAAAATCAAGAATAACAATTATAATAATAGTTATTCGATAAAAATCAAGAATAACAATTATAATAATAGTTATTCGATAAAAATCAAGAATAACAATTATAATAACAATTATTCAATAAAAATCAAGAATAACAATTATAATAATAGTTATTCGATAAAAATCAAGAATAACAATTATAATAATAGTTATTCGATAAAAATCAAGAATAACAATTATAATAACAATTATTCAATAATAATCAAGAATAATAATTATAATAATAGTTATTCGATAAAAATCAAGAATAACAATTATAATAATAGTTATTCGATAAAAATCAAGAATAACAATTATAATAATAGTTATTCGATAAAAATCAAGAATAACAATTATAATAACAATTATTCAATAATAATCAAGAATAATAATTATAATAATAGTTATTCGATAAAAATCAAGAATAACAATTATAATAATAGTTATTCTATAAAAATCAAGAATAACAATTATAATAATAGTTATTCGATAAAAATCAAGAATAACAATTATAATAATAGTTATTCGATAAAAATCAAGAATAACAATTATAATAATAGTTATTCAATAAAAATCAAGAATAACAATTATAATAATAGTTATTCAATAAAAATCAAGAATAACAATTATAATAATAGTTATTCGATAAAAATCAAGAATAACAATTATAATAATAGTTATTCAATAAAAATCAAGAATAACAATTATAATAATAGTTATTCGATAAAAATCAAGAATAACAATTATAATAATAGTTATTCGATAAAAATCAAGAATAACAATTATAATAACAATTATTCAATAATAATCAAGAATAATAATTATAATAAAAGTTATTCGATAAAAATCAAGAATAACAATTAAAATAACAATTATTCAATAAAAATCAAGAATAACAATTATAATAATAGTTATTCTATAAAAATCAAGAATAACAATTATAATAATAGTTATTCAATAAAAATCAAGAATAACAATTATAATAATAGTTATTCAATAAAAATCAAGAATAACAATTATAATAATAGTTATTCTATAAAAATCAAGAATAACAATTATAATAATAGTTATTCGATAAAAATCAAGAATAACAATTATAATAACAATTATTCAATAAAAATCAAGAATAACAATTGTAATAACAATTATTCAATAAAAATCAAGAATAACAATTATAATAATAGTTATTCGATAAAAATCAAGAATAACAATTATAATAACAATTATTCAATAAAAATCAAGAATAACAATTATAATAATAGTTATTCGATAAAAATCAAGAATAACAATTATAATAATAGTTATTCGATAAAAATCAAGAATAACAATTATAATAACAATTATTCAATAATAATCAAGAATAATAATTATAATAATAGTTATTCGATAAAAATCAAGAATAACAATTATAATAATAGTTATTCTATAAAAATCAAGAATAACAATTATAATAATAGTTATTCGATAAAAATCAAGAATAACAATTATAATAATAGTTATTCGATAAAAATCAAGAATAACAATTATAATAACAATTATTCAATAAAAATCAAGAATAACAATTATAATAATAGTTATTCGATAAAAATCAAGAATAACAATTATAATAATAGTTATTCGATAAAAATCAAGAATAACAATTATAATAACAATTATTCAATAATAATCAAGAATAATAATTATAATAATAGTTATTCGATAAAAATCAAGAATAACAATTATAATAACAATTATTCAATAAAAATCAAGAATAACAATTATAATAATAGTTATTCTATAAAAATCAAGAATAACAATTATAATAATAGTTATTCAATAAAAATCAAGAATAACAATTATAATAATAGTTATTCAATAAAAATCAAGAATAACAATTATAATAATAGTTATTCTATAAAAATCAAGAATAACAATTATAATAATAGTTATTCGATAAAAATCAAGAATAACAATTATAATAACAATTATTCAATAAAAATCAAGAATAACAATTGTAATAACAATTATTCAATAAAAATCAAGAATAACAATTATAATAATAGTTATTCGATAAAAATCAAGAATAACAATTATAATAATAGTTATTCTATAAAAATCAAGAATAACAATTATTCAATAAAAATCAAGAATAACAATTATAATAACAATTATTCAATAAAAATCAAGAATAACAATTATAATAACAATTATTCAATAAAAATCAAGAATAACAATTATAATAATAGTTATTCGATAAAAATCAAGAATAACAATTATAATAATAGTTATTCTATAAAAATCAAGAATAACAATTATATTAACAATTATTCAATAAAAATCAAGAATAACAATTATAATAATAGTTATTCAATAAAAATCAATAATAACAATTATAATAATAGTTATTCTATAAAAATCAAGAATAACAATTATAATAACAATTATTCAATAAAAATCAAGAATAACAATTATAATTACAATTATTCAATAAAAATCAAGAATAACAATTATAATAATAGTTATTCAATAAAAATCAAGAATAACAATTATAATAATAGTTATTCAATAAAAATCAAGAATAACAATTATAATAATAGTTATTCTATAAAAATCAAGAATAACAATTATAATAACAATTATTCAATAAAAATCAAGAATAACAATTATAATAATAGTTATTCGATAAAAATCAAGAATAACAATTATAATAATAGTTATTCGATAAAAATCAAGAATAACAATTATAATAACAATTATTCAATAAAAATCAAGAATAACAATTATAATAATAGTTATTCAATAAAAATCAAGAATAACAATTATAATAATAGTTATTCAATAAAAATCAAGAATAACAATTATAATAACAATTATTCTATAAAAATCAAGAATAACAATTATAATAACAATTATTCAATAAAAATCAAGAATAACAATTATAATAATAGTTATTCGATAAAAATCAAGAATAACAATTATAATAATAGTTATTCGATAAAAATCAAGAATAACAATTATAATAACAATTATTCAATAAAAATCAAGAATAACAATTATAATAATAGTTATTCTATAAAAATCAAGAATAACAATTATAATAACAATTATTCAATAAAAATCAAGAATAACAATTATAATAATAGTTATTCAATAAAAATCAAGAATAGCAATTATAATAATAGTTATTCAATAAAAATCAAGAATAACAATTATAATAATAGTTATTCTATAAAAATCAAGAATAACAATTATAATAATAGTTATTCAGTCATGGCCCGATCTGGGCGTGCCACGCCTATTTGCAATCGGGATAGTTTCCCCCATACAGGATACAGCAAGGATGGTAGTTTTCAATAGTTTTATCCATCATAACTTAGCCAAGTATAAATATAAAGAAACAAGTTGATTACATTTATATCTACTACCAAAATGTATCTGTACTATCTTATATATCCTTAAACCTAATAACAACGAGATCTATCCAGAGTCTAGTAGTCCGCGTATCCACTCCCTTGTTTGCCATAGCCAAAGTCCTTCAGATAGTTGTCGATGGCCAGGTCGGAAGATAATAGCGGTTAATAGGATCGGGCTCTTGCAAGGGCTCCGTCTGACGTTGGGACATCGGATACGACTCGTCTTGTGGCAAAGCGTAGGGTACATAGGTACTCTGTGAAGGAAGATATATTTTAAAAGTTATCCACACTTATATAATGATTCACTTACGCGCATTGAAGCTGAATCCTAGTGTTTGATTCGGCTGAACCAATATTTCCGCCGTCAATCACTGGTCCCTGCTGCAACGGACGAGACATCACATTGTCGTCTCAGCGACCGTGCAGCGGCATGATGCCTGCCCCAGTCCAGCTAAGAGCAATACCTTTGAACTCCCGAGAAGACTAGGAGCTACGGCGGAATCAGCTACTGAAGAGGTACCGACGGCGAGCGGACTGGAGAGACGGAGATAAAGGCCATGAGTGGCCGGACCCAGAGGTGAAGTCCCTTATAAAAGAATGCGGGCGGTCACCCGTCACGCAAGTGGTACTTTTGGCACCCGAAAGGGGCCACCTGCTAAAATGACGGAAAAATTGTTATGATGTAAATAATAAATAAAAACTTGATAACTTTACCTGGCGGTATAAGAGGTGGAGATCGCGGCATAGCAGTTTGTGGCAAGAGAGGGTCTCGGCCAATAGAGCTGGAGGGAATACAAAAATAAAAGAAAATGAACCAAGCACAAATAGTCAATGGAAAATATGAAAATGGGATTGGGGAAACAAAGAAAACTTACCCTGTCAGAGTCGATGAGGTAAAGCATTGTGCTGAAGGAAAGACGATCGCAGTAATGGGTGCACCTGCGAAGCACATACATCGTACGTCGTAAAAAGTGAAGGTAAATAAAAAATTTGGATACTGCTGGCGCGATGCACTCGATCGTGGTTCAAGCATCCATCCGGCAACACCTAAATGGCTTTGGGCGGCCGGTTCATAAAGAAGGCGCGCTCGCCAACTAATTTCAAATGAGAAAAATCACCAGAGCGGCGCAGGAAACGGAAAAGTATATCATGACTGAAATATCCATGGATCCATTCCCCTTTTCGAACCACTAAAAAATCTCTATCTTAAAAGGTGAGATGCCAGCTCGCGTCCTCTAATTAGAGGCGTCAAAAGTTGAACAGCAAAGTTGTACTTTGTAGCCGGTGTTTGAACTTTTGATGGTCGTTTTCACTATACATATGTGTATGATAATTGGGTATTAAATTTAATCTTGGCTTCGGCGTTGAGTTTTAATACTCGTATAATTATTCTAATAGTAAGGATAGAAACAAATTATAGAATAATTGATTATTTAATTACTTCAAGAAAGGTTGAGCAGAAAGGCTCTGGCTGCAGCACTTAATAAACAGCTGTTGAAGAGGAAAAATCATATTGATGGAAGGATTCATTCTATTCTGCTGCGCGATTTGCTCTCGTGGACCTGCAATTATTTTAATAAAAATGTTTGATGACTTGTATATTGAAAGATTCTGGTATTTTCCACTCACTGACTGTGCTATCTTCAGAAGATAGTCGAAACTCGTCCTGCCCGTCTCCATAACCATGCCGTAGAAGATTTTCGTTTTGGATTGTACTAGAAGTTCGTGTGGAGTTCCAAACTCCACCAGATTGCCGGCATCCAATACCATAACCCTATCCGAATCAATGATGGTATTCAGACGATGGGCTATGGTTAAGACAGTGCAGTCTCTGAACTTTCTCCGAATGGTGGACTGGATGAGGGCATCGGTTTGGGGATCCACATTCGCCGTGGCCTCATCCATGACTAGGATGCGGTTTTCCCGTAGAATAGCACGTGCCAGGCAGACCAACTGGCGCTGACCAACACTATAGTTGGCCCCACCCTCGGAGACGAGGCTCTGCAAGCCGGTGGGCAGCTCCGAGACTTCCACCTTCAAATGAACCTCCTCTAGGGCCTGCCAGAGCTTGTCGTCCGTATACTGCTCGAATGGATCCAGATTGTAGCGAAGGGTGCCGGAAAAAAGCACCGGTTCCTGTGGAATAATCGAGATCCTGCTGCGTAAATCGTTGAGACCAATCCCTGCTGTATCCCTCCCATCAATCAGCATGCTGCCATCGGTGTAGGACAGTCGGAACAGTGCATTAATCAGCGTAGATTTCCCCGCACCCGTGCGTCCCACTATGCCGATCTTCTCGCGCGGCTGGATCACAAAACTCAGAGAGTTCAGTACCCGATCAGTTTTGGGATCGGGATTGTATCTCAGACTCAAGTCATCAGCCACAATTTGTCCATCTTTGGGCCAACTATCGGCTGGCTTTTTGTCAGCAGGAGACTCGAACTCTCCCTCCGCCTGTAGGTTTCGGTACTCCACAACCCGCTCCACGGACGTCATGGAGTTCTCCAGCTCTGCCGACTGCCGCATGCCCCACTGAACGGTGCCCGTCATGGACATGGCCTGCGTAATGGCCAATCCAATCTGTCCCGGATTGCCGAGTGGTGGATAGAAGTAGCTCGTAAGCGTCACGGAAATCACATAGGCCACGCAGAAGAGATCCAAATAGTAGCCGAATGCCCGACTGGTGGACAGGAACGTATAGTAGCCAGAACTGTGCAGATCCTGATAGTTGTCGTACTCCCCAATTAACAGTCTCTGGGCACCCAGGGCGCGTATCGTGGGCAGACCACTCAGGGTGGCACTGAAGTGCGAGTACATGGGCGATCTGGCCACCGCTTCCAGTCGCTTCACATTCCGCGAAGTACTCAGGTAGAACCGCCTTAGGAAGTGGGAGGCCACGAACATGACGGACGTGTTCAACAGATACCAGGGATTGGTGATGCACAGCACACAGATTATTCCGGCTATGGTGAGGAAGATCTGTATGCAGTCCAGCATGACGGCGGGCAGCACCTCGTCCACCTGGCCCAGGTCCATAGCGAATCGGTTCAGTATGCGTCCCGACGGATTTGAGTGGAAGAAATATAGCGCCGTGCGGGATACGCCCTGGAACATAGTGTTGTGCAGCTCAGTGGACGAGTGCATGGCCATGCTGAAGAACAGAATCGTTCGGAGCAGCGCAAAAATCACGAGGGCCACATTTATGGCACTGAAGTAGTAAATGTCCACCGCAGAAGATTGATTGTTGTTCTTAACCCTGCGGGTATTATTATGGGATTATTTATAGGGAGTTTACAGTTCAATAGCAGATCTCACTTACCAGTAGGACAGGAAGTAATCGCCACCAGAGGCCAGCAGCTGTGTGCCCAGGCAAAAGAACACGACCAGGACGAACATGATCCAACCAGAGCCAGCGGCAAAGTACTTCCTGTAGATATCCATGCCAATATTGCCACTGGAACGTGACTCCTGCACGGGGGTGACAACAACCTCCTCTTCTCCGGATTCTGCAGAGCTGACACTCGTCCTGCTCTGGCGGCTGCTTTGGCGGGAATATACCTTGCCATCGCCAGCAGCTGCCCCATCCCCGTCTCCATCGTGGTCTACAGTCTCATGGCGAGTGCTTTTGGCCAGCAGCTGGGCAAAGTCCTGACCACTCTTTAGCATCTTCTCATAGCTGCCGATGTCTGTGACCCTGCCCTTGTTCATAATCACTATGAGATCCGCCTGTTCCAGGAACTGCAGCTGATGGGTCACCAGTATGACCAATTGATGCTTGAGAAAGCCCCGCATGCACTCCTCGAAGAGATGACGACCCACGTGCGTGTCCACGGCGCTGAGGGGATCGTCCAACAGGTAGATATCCGCCCTGCGGTACACGGCTCTGGCCAGACTGATCCTCGCCCGCTGGCCGCCGGAGAGCGATGCGCCACGCTCACCCGCCATTGTCCGATCCCCCTGGAGCAGCTCAAAGTCGCGTTCCAAGGCACACTTCTGGACCACACTGCGGTATCGATGCTTGTCCATGGGCAGGCCGAACAGGATATTGTCCCGCAGGGAGGCGTTGAAGAGCCAGGGCTCCTGCGAGGCATAGGACACTCTTCCCTGGAGCTTTAAGCGCCCAGACTCAGGTGGCAGCTCGCCGAGTATCGCCTGGATGAGGCTCGATTTCCCAGAGCCCACGGGCCCAATGACGGCCACCAATTGCGGGCGCTTCAGGCTCATGCTGATCCTGTCCAGGACCGGTTCATTTTGCTCTCGGCACCAGCGTGCTGTCAAATCCTCAATTTCGACCACAACATCGGTCGGCTTCTCTTTGGGATCACCATCGCCATCGCCCTGAAGGACATCCGATTCGTCGCGCATCAGGAATGCCCGTATCCGGCGCAATGTGACCAACATTTCGGCAAACTGGGACATGCCGCTGGGAAAGAACTTGCTGACAGTGCGCCTCAGGATGTTGTAGAACGCCGTAACCACAAAGGCCTTCTCCGCCGTGAGCTCCCCGCCCATCAGGACGTAGCCTAAGAGGCTCACAAAGATGGCAATCCTGCCGAGAGTAATCTCAAAAGAGAGCAGAGTGCCCCGAATGTAGTTGACCTTGCGAATGGAGCTCATCTCGCTGCGCCGCAGGCGCTCGATCGCCTTGCCAAAGGGCCGCTCCCAGGTGTACATCTTGATCACCTGTATGCCGGATATGATCTCGTTCATCATTCGCACCCGTTGGTCCGTTCGCAGAGCGGTCTGCAGACGCAACACGGAGGTCAGCCTGCTCAAGTAGGTCTGCACCGGCAGATAGAGCAGCAGTATGACAATGCCGTAGAGCGAGGCCAGGCCAATCTGCTGATACAGGAAATAGGAGGCAACCAGCAGCTCCAGCGGTCCCAGCCACAGAAAGTGGAAGTGTATCAGGGCCCGATCGAAGCGCCCCAAATCGTTGGATATCAGATTGACCACCTGCCCCGTTGTGGTGTTTCCCATAGCAGTGCTACTTAGGCGCAGCGCCTTGCGATAGATGGCACAGCCCACGGCTACCCTCATCTTCATGGCCAGGTGCTGTTCGGGACGGGACGAGTTTTAATCAATGAAATTGTACAGGTGAGAGCTGTTTTGTGAACTCACCATCATACCCATCATATAAGGATGGAACAGGAGGACACTGACCACGGTAGTAAGTATCAGGCCAGCTCCATAAAGCTGTGCGCTCAGTCCATCGCCGTTTCCATATGCCGTAAACTCTGATATCAAGGCGCCTAGCAACAAAGGTGCAGTGGCCCTGTAAGGAGATTCATTTTACAGAAGAAACTATAGATCGATCTCCACTTACCTGGTGCCCAGTTCCAGGACTCCAAGGATCAGGCCGGAGCCCAGCAGTTGCCAGCCGAATACACGAAGTATCACCTTGATGATGCTCGGCTGCTGGTTGTGCTTCCGACGACATGCTGCCACTTCGGCCTGCCATGTCTGGAAGAATCTGTCGCCCAAACTATCCGCTCGGTGTCCCTTGAGGGCCTGATACAGATCTGTGGGTTGAAGGGTCTTCTTGCGGCCCTTGAAGAGAATGGGCAGTGCAAAGCTGTCGTAAGAGTACGAGCATTAGGAAATGTATTATTTCATGTATATAGGAAATGTTTGGGGCTAAGATTTAATAGCTCTACACGATAAAGGTTGATAAACTAGACGTGACAGACTTATCAGCAAAAACACCCCGAAGATGCTCAGATTATCTCTTAAGTTTACATGATAAGTGCTCGATGATGTGTCGTCTTTTATAAAACATACCAAAACATAAGCGAGGACAATAGTCCTGCCGATTCACGGGGATTTGGTGGGAGTTTATCGGCCTGCATGATCTATATAATTTATTTTTGGTAGTACCATACAATTAAGTATCACACCGGCCCTCTTATTTAAATTCTCGGATTTACGAGTAGTATTACTTGTCTGAACTCCGGATTCAGGTGTTACTTCTAGGATTAGCTCAAAACTTTTCCTTTAATATTCGCAAAAGAAAACTTCAGATAAAAGCGAGAAAAGCGTCTGCAGTGCTTCGCTTTCTAACTTGTTATGGACCATCATTCAAGTGAGCGATAACGTTCACGGAATAATTCTCACCTTAATGACGTCGTTTATCTAAGAGATAATCTTCTTTACTTAAGCTGGCAGCAAAATACAATATATAACTATCTCTGTATGTTTTCATCAGATGGTATCATCAGCATTTAATATGCTTTTTCATTCCCATTCATTTAGTGGTTGAGTTTTTTTTACTATTATTTTCATTGTTTGCGGGTCGGGAAGATTGTTGAAGGCAGCCTTTTTAATGAACAAATAGTGTTATCCACTTAATACACTTCTATTAGATTGGTTAATTTTTTAAAGTATTAAAGTAATATTACTAAATTACAAAAAAAATGTTTTTACATTTTTGCTACATTACATTTATACTACTACTACATTTGTACAAGTATTCTACAACTGTCCAGGTGCCGCCATCTGTTCTTATTTACATGAACTACTCATCTTCTACTTGCTTTTTACATGAACTATTAGCAGGGCCGTCTGTTGGCATTTACGTAGCTGCCGGATTTCTACATGAAATTTTACAAATTTTGCGCTAGCCAACACTGATATTCGCAGAAAAGTTTCGCGCTCAATTTTGAAATTCAAAACGTTGATTTTGTCTATTTGTCGAGCAACAACATATGGAATAACAAATGGATTGCATTTTAGTACCCATTTACATTTGCACACGCGTATGATCTGCAACAATGGCATCGTTTGCTCAGGCATAAGCAAATACAAATTAACTAACAAATTTAACCACAAATGCACGTGCACAAACATACAAGACCCTGACAATTTCAGTTTGATGCAGCTGGTCACGACCCATTAATATACCCTATATTCATTTTAGAGTACGACGGGTATATGCCCTAGAATAACCATGACTCCTTTGTGTTTCTAGCGTAAATTCTCCAGCTCTCAGCGCTTGTTACACATATAAGTGGTGTTTTTAGTTTGTACAACTAATTGCAGAAATTGATGTACTCTCAGAACCAGTTATCAGTCCAAGGCACTCGACAATTGCGCCCTTTTTTTGTTAATTTTTTAATACATTTCTGTATGCGTATTTTATCATTTATTTACATAAAATAAGCGACCGCAAGGTTTAATTAACCGCAAAAATGGAATGCAAAACTGCAAAAAAAGAAGAAAATCCTATAGGGCGATGGAAAGGAAACAGAGAAATGAAAATAAAATGTGATATGAGTTAATGCAAAAGGTAAACAAGAAGAAGAGCGAAGATAAAGGTAAAGAAGGGTCGTCGAAAATATGTGGAAATAGATACGAGTATGATATGCGGACAACGTGCATCGGCATTAACCGGAGTAATAAGGTAAATATGTGAACAGCTTCGAACATATCCACACAAACAGACACACTAACCCACACACACGAGAAATTTAATAGCGCAACACTGGAGAATTACGACTATACGATACCCTACAATATATGGTATTTATTTACACGAAACTGAGTTGAAATATTATATTTTTTGTTAACATGAGCATGGGGATAAGGTTTAACGGTAGGTTTTTTGGTTTTTTGCTATGATATGTACACAAATGTACATAAATCATGGATTTCGGCCCATTCTGAATGTAATGATTACTATTTTCGATTGATATTTAGACTTTAAGACATCACAATAAGATATATTTAATATTTATACTATTTTAAGGTTGCAGAATGGAAAGACGGAAATACCAAACTCATTCAAAATATACCCCTCTATCATCCGAGAGTACTGGGTACAAAGAAATACAGTCAAATAAACATACCTAGAGATAAGTATGACAACTTGCTAAAGTGACCAACCGTATCCGTACCGTACCATACCGAAGCGAACCAATATCAATATCAATATGGGGCGCCCTGGCTAACCAGACCCGGACATTGACCGCTCCCTGAGTCAGTGGATGGTCTTCCTTGGCACTATCAACTGCTGCACTTCTCGCATTATACGAGTATACCCTTTGGGAGGGGATTATGATTTTAAGTATTTGTTTGCTACACAGGGAAGGCAGGTAATCATATACATATATAGTAATAATTAAAAGGTTTCCTACTGAAGTTTCCTCCCAGAAGTATCCTTCAAATGCCATGAGATTAAAGATTTCTGATACTAATTCAATAGAACTGATCGAAATCGGATGAACTTTTGATCTGCAAGGGTATCTGAATTATTGGGATTCGATGCCAGCCTTTCCCTCGTGTCTCCTCTTACTGTTTTTTATCAGCTGACAACAACGCTGCGTGAGTGCGGCTGTCACTTAGGGCAAACATATGTTTCGTTACAAATTGACGACCGACCGCAGCAGCAGGGGCACAGGCACAGCGGAAGGGACGACAGCTTCTCTTATCAGTGGCTGCTGCTGATAGGCGGCGGAGGCGGAGGAGGAGGAGCTGAACAACAAAAGACAACAAACGAAAATTAACGAAAACTAAATTTAAACACGTCTTTCTGCGGTCCACGTCCGCCCGTTAACCGTTGGAGAGACGGGTTTCATTAGCTGCCACTGCAACTGCAGCTGCACGAAGTCGCTGGCTACTGCCATCTCTGTCTACGGCTGCGGTCGACAGTGCGTGCCAATGGGAGCGAAAGGGAGAGACACAAACAGACATAAAGAGAGATAGGGGTATGGGATGCTCTTGCAAAAGGGCTAACGCCGCGCCGCGTGGTGGCATGTCCAGGGACCCCATTGAGGGGTGAAGGGTTGTGCCCTCGCCAACCGCTGACTTTTCGCACAGCGGGCGATTTCTACTACTCGTAAATAAGGTTTATTGCCACGCAGGACCCCATGGGGGTTTGTCAGTGCGTAATCCAAGTCGGACAAAGGTGGGGTTGGTTCTAAGGAGAACACAGAATGTTTGACATAATTCGATTACTGTTTTAGTGGGAAATGCAGCGTGGTAATTGAAAATTGATTGAATCTCGTATTGCTTTGCATTCTACTAGAACGACATGCCACTCATCCTCGGATTTGTCGGGATGAGAGCACGAATATCATCCCAAAAATCAAACTGCATCGACTCGCCCAACTTTTTTCATCTTTGGAGTTATCTCCGATATCTAATTATACCAAACCCACGTAAATACTACGCATTATCCTTTCAAAATACCGATTTCTGATCAATTAATGTATCGATTATAAAGCTATATTAACAATATTATGGGAAAACGCCTTTCCCCCATGCATATATTGAGTATTTCAAAGTTGTTCCCGTTAACGGACATGTTGAATGTCCAACATGGGAGAGAAAAACAGACGAGTGCCCTACCGTGTCCAACGATGTCCTTGTCTTTCCTTTCCATTCCATTCCCATCGATTCGTTTCGATTTGCTGCGGTGTGAACGGGCAAAGGCAAACAGGCAAATAAACAAACAATCGGGAGTGCGGCGGACAATGGGCCAGGACCAGGTCCAGTCCTCACGGCAGAGCTTTTCCAAAGGTGCGTATGCATATACACATACATATACTCGTGCCATACATGTATGTGGGTTTAAGGGTGGTCTGTGCGAGTGTGTGTACTACATATCTGGGGGGGTTGCTTGCTTACTTGCTTATACAAGCTGTGGTTTGTTTTTATTGTGCCTGGCTCTGACCCGACCTCGCTGATGATGGCCAACACTCACACTCTAGAGGGAATGCGGTGGCCCCGGCACAGCAGGAAACAATTAGCTCTAAATAAAATTTCAAAATAAGCAACTGTTTGCGCTTAAATCCAAATAGCAAGCTCCACCATTTGATCCGGGCACGCGAGGTCTTTCAGAACCAGAACCACAAATAGGTTGGGGCGTTGGCGGGTTGGCGATGGGGACGGACACGGACTCATATAGTAGATAGCATGATATCACTTAATTACGGTATTTAAATGAGCAACAAATGATATGCTTTTAACATATCGAAAGCCCCCAAAATGTAGCTCAATTTTTCGAAACATTTGTACGAAATTTATTATTATTATATTTTCAATGCACATCTATTTATACCGGGTAATCGGTTGCTAAGAGGAGTGTATTTGAGTATTTGTTGGGTTATAGGGTACAGGCAGAAATGTTTCCACCTCTATAAATATGTTGTGTTTGTAGTCTTAACCAGTTTTGGCCTGCCTTTCAAAGAGTTGTATCGGTAGTTATCTTCAATATGCTACCTCGGGTATTATTGGTATTCCATAGCCGAAATATCACCCACTTTTGTTCCAAAAAACGTGCGCTGAACTCTATGCAACAAAACACTTTGTATGTTGCAATAATCTTTTAGCGAACTTCATTGCCATGGCATCGATGGAGCTACTGATGCGTGTGTGTGTGTGTGTGTGTGTTTGCAATGCCGTGTGTTTGAAATGTAATTGAAATTTAGTTGGCAAAACTAATTGGAATTGCTGCATTATGCAAAAGGCGATAAAGCCCCACAGTAAACCCTCCGATTGGGTGGCACAAAATAACGCTAAAAGACCAGAAACGGAATGCAAAATTCCCTGATAAATGTTTCTATAAAAATATATATGAAAAATAACATTCCCAATATAGGGAATTGGGGTAATGACCCAACAACAATCCTTGAAAATTGTAAATCTGGACTAGTACACAAATAAAAAATATCTGGAAAATTCCTTTCTTTTCATAAAATCAGCATGATACATATTTAAATAAACAAAAACAATAAAAATTCCATTCGGAATAAGTAAATAGAGATGTACAGCGTATACATATGTTATACGAAATTCCAAGAAAAATATATTAACAAATATTTTGTTGAATCAATAAAATATTTTACGTTTATTAAAAATGTGCGAATGGACTTTTGTAATATTATAAATAAGTTCCACATTTTATTTTCAGGTATAAAGGTACGAAATAAGCGGTATTTGATCCATAAATTGTACAATATAATCTTTCTTCGAA